GTCTGAATCTCTATATATCATCAAAAAGTCAATAAACAGCAAGCATTTGCAAGGATATGGAGGAAAGGAAACCTGATGCATTGTTGGTAAAATTGCAAATTGGTTAGCCACTATGGAAAACGATATAGAGATTTCTCAAAAATTAAAAATAGGAGAGCATTATGCTAAGCAAAATAAGCCAGGTGGTGAAAGACAAATACCTTTATGATCTCACCTGTAAGTGGAACCTAATCAACATAACAACCAAGCAAGAAAAATATGACCAGCAACACTGAAAGAGAAAAACAAACCAACAGTAATGGGGGAAGGGGAGAGGGTGAGGGTAACAGGGAAAAGAAGGGGAAGGGTCAAGTCATGGAATGTGTATAAGGGACCCATGAACAAAGCCAAAGTGGGGAAGGATTGAGGGTGGGAGGTGGAGGTGGGTGAGCAGGGGATGCGGTGGTAGGAAAATGGAGACAACTGTACTTGAATGAAAAAAATATTTAAATAATGAAATCTATCCCATTTACAATTGCATCACAAAGAATAAAATACCTGGAATAAGTTAAATCAAGAAGGTGAAAGACCTGTACACTGAAAATTGTAAGAAACTAATGAAAGAAATTGAAGAAGACACAAATAAATGGAAAGTAGTCATATACACATGTAAAAGAATGAAGTTGGACCCTTGTTTAATACCATATATACAAAAATTAACTCAAAATGGATCAAGGGCCTAAATGTGACACCTGAAAAAAAAAATAAGCATATAAAAAATTCATAAAATAGCATAGGACAAAATGTTTTCTGGATTTAGCAATGATTTTTAAAAAATTAAAAATAGAGCTACCACTTATGACTGAGCAATTCTCACTTCTGGGTATATATCTGAAGAAATCCAAAACACTAATTTAAAAAGATATATGTACCCCTATGTTCACTGCGTTGTTTACAATAGCCAAGGTGTGGAAGCAACCCAAGAACCCATCAATAGACAATTGAATAAAGAGGATGTGGTACATATTGAAGTATATGCAATGGAATGTTACTCAGCCATAAAAAATGAAATCTTGCCATTTGTGACAACATGGATGGACCTAGAAGGTATTATGCTCAGTGAAACGAGTCAGAGAGAGAAAGACAAATACTATATGATTTCACTTATATGTAGACTCCAAAGAACAAAATAAATGAACAAACAAAACAGAAATAGACTAGACACAAAAAACAAACTAAGGGTTGCCAGATGGGAGGGGTATTAGGGGGATGGGTGAATTGTTAGGGAGTAAGGAGTACAAATTGGCAGTTACAAAATAGTCATGGGGGTGTAAAGTACAACATAGAGAATATAGTCAATAATATTTCAATAACTATATAAGATGTCAGATGAGTACAAGAATTATTGAGGTGATTACTTTGTAAATTATTTAACTGTCTAATTACTATGCTGTACATCTGAAACTAATACAAAATAACATTGAATGTCAACTGTAATTGAAAAATAAATAAAAAACATTGTTTCAACCAATTAGGGTGGCAAAGTTCAGCAAGATGGATATCATCCTATAGACAAAGGGACACATATATGACTCTTCAATATCATCAAGAAATTTCAGGAGCACAAAAGCACAAAGTCATTTATTACAGCATTGTTTATCATATCAAAAAACTGGCCCACATAAATGTTTATCAATAGAGTAATGAGTAAATAAACCATAAGACACATTACAATGGAACATAATGCAACAATTCAGTTTAGTAGCTGGATTTATAAAATGGAGGTTTATGAGATGGTAAGAAGAAATATGAAAGTTAAAGGACAAATTATATAGATGCATTCTGTTTAAAAAAAAATATAAAGCCTGCACAGGGCGAAGCAAAAGTTAGTCAGCCACTGTTTCATAGATGCTGGGTGGAGATACGAGAGTTTTGGGTCAGAAACTAAAGATCGTTATTACTCACAGTAACAGCGTAACCAGAGCATCAGTATTTGTTCCAATTCCCTGAGCCACAGTTCCCAGAGGGAAAGGCAATGCAGTCCAGGTGATGGGGCCGCATACAGCGAGCTGTGTATAGGGCAGAAACCCTGAGCTTAGGGAACCCTGATATTTCATATTCAACAATAAGCCTTTCTGACCTTATTTTTATTATAAAGGAGAAAGATATTATCTTTATTATGCTGCACGATAAACAACAAAATGCAAGAAAAGTCTGCCCTTTGCTCTGGAGGTAGACACTGTCTCAGCCTTCCAAGCCTATTCACCCCAAAAATATCCTAAAATATAGTCCTGAAAAAGGCAGTCAGTGCCTCATCTCGTAACATGCACAATAACATGAAGGACTCATGGAGAATTCTATTGTCATTTTCATTTTGTGTAAACAGACAAAAAGCCGATAGCTGTCAATTAAAAATGTTATTTTAATTAAACTTATAACAATGAAAATGTTGATGCTTTAGTCATCAAATCATAAAAAGATATATTTTTTATACATATAAGATTTTGTGACTGATATGTTGTTCATTCTGTGCTCATGCTACATGGTATAGAAAATCACTGATAATCATTTTATCTAATAAATATTTCTTATTCAGAAAAATAACATCCAGACTGATCGCTGGAATTGCTGACAAAATTAGGAAGAGAATTTTTAGAATTACATAGCTTTAATGATAGCCATCATAAACATAATTACCTTCCCTCACACATTTTTCACTGGGAAACTGTTCTTAAAAACAATTACATGTCAACATCTCAACAACAATCTTTTATTCTGTGAACAATACATATTACCCTTCTAGGAGAGTATAATTAAATAATAGATTTTTGGATCTAAAAGTCCAGCTTCTTCATTTTATTATTGAAGACACTGAGGACCAGAGACATTAAGTGACTCAAAGGTGGCCAACAACTAGTTAATGTCATAGCTGAGACTAAACCCCACATGCCCTGACTTGGAGCACAGGCTCTTTCTTCTTATCCAAATCCACATACATGATAGGATAGAGCTTTCAAACTGGGGTATGCAAACCGCTGCAGGCGCTGGCAGCGTGCCAGGGAGGCGAAGCCGCGGGATAAACACAGGGTGTCTTGCTTCAATGTAAATATCACTCAAAGATTTGAGGGGAGTTAAGGGGAACCACTTTATTTTTATATTAAAACAAGATTGATTGTAAAGGAGAATGTACATTTTACACAAATTTTTTAAATTTCAGGCGGGATTCCTCAGGCCATAATCCCACCACACAGAGGTAAAAACTTCTCTCTGCTCCCTCTGCCAGGGCTGCTTTTTCGGTAAAAATTTTGTACCACCAACGTGAGGATATCTAGAAAGGACCTTTCATCCAAGGAGTGCCTTTATTAACCTCCATCTTTCACATCCCGTAATTAAATTTGCATTATTTTAGTCCTCATGATCAGTTAAGTTGAAAATTTTGATTGAAGAAGGAACATAGTAAGACCTTATAATAAATGAGTTCTTTCCCTAAGAACATAGCTGGGTGTTGTTTTTTATTTTTAATTTTTTTTTGATCTTCTTAGTGTAAGTTTAAAGATTTTAAGTAGAAAGTCAAGGGTAAAAATTTTAATGTGATTTTAGCAGAAATTAGGTGGTTAGTAGTTTACTTCTGTAAAATGCTCTCTAAAAGCATTTTGTTTATGATTCTAAAACTCACTCTTGTATAATGTACAAAACTGACCAAGTGGTATACATTTACGTGTTTCTATGTAGCATATTTATGAATGATATCTAAAATGCCAGAACACAGATTAACAGCAAAAGTAGAAGACAAATGGTCAGTAAACTGTTTTCTAAGTGGACCATTCCTCTCATCTGGTTTTTATTTATGAGATAAAAACCATTTAAAAGTAATCAGATTACTGTCTCCACAATAACTTGGAGGACTTTTACCCACCCGGCCCCACCAGGCCCAAATACTTTTTAGAAGTACTAAAATAGTGTGTTTGATTTCTCCACTGATAACTTTTTAATGCTCTATTCCAACACCAGAATTTTTATGTTCAAGTACCCTTGACCCATTTCAAAAAACCTGTATTTAATTCCTAGATTTCAAGTTCAGACTTGGAGCCAAGAAACCCACTCATTCTATTAAGTCAGCATTTACTGAATGCAGCGTGTTAGTCCCTGACAGCAGATAGTGATGTTACAGACAGAATCCTGCCTCCGAAGTTTCCCAAGCTAGAGGGGAACCAAATGCCTATAAATATTATAATATCATAAGATAGTTTTGACAGAGGCACGAATAGAATTCGTGCTTTTTGTCTGTTTGGGGAGGCATCAAGTTCTAGCCAAATGGCTTATCTTACCCATTTTCTGCCAGAAGAAGCACTTCAAGCTACTGAGCCAATATGCACTTATTCTTGGCCAATCAAGTCAACGATGCGTTCCTTTTTTTCCGTGCACCTGGAACCGAGGGTGCCTTGATCCTGCCACCTGCCTCCATTCCAGGACTGGGTCTGGCGTGCGGCAGGTGAGGCGCTGGCCTTAGGACAAAAATGTAAAGTGGCACCCAAAACTCAGCAAAATGAATCTTAATGCAATATTTTTGCAAAGCATCCGTGATGAACGAAACTTTAAGATTTTATATCAACAGAACTTTTTTTTTTCTTTTTGTCTCAGGTGCCAATAATATTCCACAGGGCACTGCATCACCCCTGTCCTCGGCACATGACCAGTGGTCACCAGGCACATCTAATTTTAAGAAACCTAAATTTTCTGATATTGAGATCTCAAATCAATAAAATTAGTATTATTGGGTGACTACCGTCGGGATCCTCTGACCCACTCAGGCACAGCTGATAGATCACCTGCTTTACAGCAGAGTCACAAAAGCACCGCGTGCAGGCGAACGCTGGTGTGTCCGAGGTACCACGTGGTGGGTGCTGCGAGGGCCACAAGCGCAAACGTCACAGAAGTCAGGATTTGGCTTCAAATCTTCCCTGGTTTGGATTGGCTTTTAGTCGGCAAGATTGTGGTAGCTGTTGGTAACAGTCAGAACAATGAACCGCGGGCCAAACTGGGTCAATCGTAGGCGCCATTGGCTGTCCTGGTGTCCTGATGACCTGGGACCCGAACCATCTGCCCCGCGCCTTCCGACACACTACGAGCCTAGCGAGCCTAGCGAGGTCTCCTGGACCCGCCCTGGAGATCAGCCGCAGGGTAAGGGGCACCCCGTCTCCAGAACCAGGGCCTTTTGGGTCCCTGCCGGAAAGCCCCCACCGGCCTAAGGCTGCCCCTGGGGCCTGGGAACGAGAGGGTGAAGCAGTGGGGTCCCCAGACTTCTACGGGAGCTAGAGGCCTGTAACCTCCTCGCGGCGGGGGCGGGCGGGGGGAGCGGTATGGAGCCTGCCCCACTAATAGGCTTCTGACCTTTTATACCCTGTACTTACATCTGCGGCATTTGTAACTGGGGCAGTTTAGAGATTAGGTAACAAAGCCATAAATGTGGGCCTTGACTCTCCAACATTATATATGTAAATAATACATATATTTATTTACATAAATATATATTAAATCTCTGAAATGTTGTTCCCTTAAAGTGCAAAATGAGTAATACTTTTGAAAAATAATACAAACAGTTGAAGGCAGTTAAGATTATGGCTTAAGGGATATTGAGTGGGACAAACGTCAAAAAGATGGAGCCTCGGAGCTAGAAAAGTGTCCTAGCGGTCTGGGGCTTGTCTGGGAAGTCGTGGGACGGCCGTGATTCATCAAAGCTGAGGTTTCTGCCATGAATTGAAAGCTAAGTCCTGACTAACCCATGGTGCAGGCGTGTTGCATGAAAGCATAGGAATTTATCTATTATTGCAGTACACAAATCATCAGCGAAGACTATTTCTTCTGTAGATTTGAATACAGGCTTCATTCTTCTGGGATGTAATAAGCCCACGATTTTCAAACTCTGATTTCTGCTCTCTCTAGCTAGCACGTCATTGGGCCGTGGAGGCGGCTGCTGCTCTCCTCCCTGTGCTGGCAGTGTCCGCACTCCAATTCCGTGCTGGGGCTTTGGGGGGTTTTGTTTTGGTTTTGGGTTTTGGGGTTTTTTTTTTTTTTCATTTTCCTGGTTTATTAACCAATTAATTTGAAATAGGACTTTCCCTCCTCATCAGGTTACTGAAATTCCTCCCCAAATTCAATTCCTTTTCTGGGTTATATCCTCTCCCACCCTAAGCAACACTATAGATTCAAATTCTACCTCCGTGAAATTCACCCTCTCAGTTCCCACTGTCTTTTTCTTTCTCCTCCTAACTCTATACCCAGCCCTCCTCTGTCACCTTACCCAGACTGGTGCCCTCCTCCTCTTTCTAAAGGGAGTATGTGCCACAATCCCCTTACCTCCATCCCACTCTTCCCCCTGGGCTGGCCTGGCGTGGAAGGCTGCGCATCCCCACCCAGCATCTCTGGTGAGGCCCCCTCATCCACTTGCAGCTTTCTGCTCGTCATCTTGACCTGCTTGTTCCACCAGCACCTCCGTTGCTGCACTTCCAGGCTGAATTCATCCTCCCTAACAGTCACCTTTCTCATCATCATGTCATCACATTATCTTCATCACCTGTGACTTCCCTCGCCCTTACTCCCTGCCTCAGTCCCTTGCCAGGTCCCGTCTGCCCTCTCTGTCCACCCCGTGACACATCTGTTCACTGCTCATTCCCGCTTGCCACTATCCAAGGGCAGGCTCGCCGGCTCCCGCTTTGATTTTCCGGAGGCAGCCTTGCTTCCTGTCTGCAGTCTCCCTGCACCCCAGGCCACCAGACGTGTCGCTGCAAGTCACCTCCCTGAAGCCTAGTTCCTTTTCTCATCTTTTCTCCCGTTGAAAAATCCTGTCCTATTTCCCCACTGCCCCAGAATTTAGTCCAGTGATTTTAAAATAACTTGATAATGGTTATGATTTTAAAGCATTGATGTAGTTGTCGGGAAAAATTAGAACTTTGTTGGACTTAACACCGATTTTACTCTGCAGTTAATATATATATATATTTCATATACATGTACATAAATATGTCTCGTATATCATAAAAACAAATTAATTTTAAATTATAAATTATATAAACTATGTAATTTATGTAAACTATGTAAACTAAGTTAGAGTTCTTAGGCCTGTAAAAGTTTCCCTTATGACTAAGTGCACTCTTTGAGCCTAAATTTCAAAGTTAGAATGAATAATCGGACCTCAAGCCACCTTTATTAATTTGTTTCTCACAACTCCCTGCCATGTACCTTTCACTGTAGCCAAAGGCTGTACCGCCCTGCACTCCTCCAATTTCCTTCCCCTGTGCCTTCTCTTTTGTAGAGCTGCTCCCCTCTGACTAAAACACCGATCCATCAGTGCTCCCCTTCCAGTTTGTCCTCACCGTTCAGCCCACCCAGCTGGCAGCCCCGCCCTGAAATCTCGGAGTCCCCAGGCTCACTGTAATTCCTTCTTCCTCTAAATTCACCAGAGCATATTTTCTTTTTCTCATAGTCCTTAATACTTACAACCTTCTTTTACAGGATTGTTTGTCCCTCACGTCTCCTACTAAAAGGCCTGCTCCTGAAGAGCAGTCACCTTACCTAAGTCGTTGCTGCCTTTACCAGCTAGTCACAGACTAATCACAGCCTGAACTAAGCGCTCAATAGTTCAGTATCTGTTTGGACATACTATTTTCACAATGATCATCTGAAAAAAGTGCTGTTATTTGGAGTTGCTATGGAAAATGACATGGCAATTCCTCAATAAATTAAACATAGAATTACCATAGGATCCAGCAATTTCACTTCTGAGTATGTACTCAAACAAAGCCAAAGCAGGGATTCAAAGATGTTTGTACAGCCGTGATCATAGCAGCATGGTTCACAATAGGCAAAAGGTGGAAGCAACCCAAGTGCCCATTGATGGATAAGTGGACAAACAAGGTGTGGTGTATACAAACAGTGGAATATTATTCAGCCTTAAAAAAGGAAAGAAATTCCGACACACACTAAAACATAAATGATTCTTGAAGACATTATGCTAAGTGAAATAAGCCAGTCACACAGGAGAAAAACTTAAAATTCCAGTTATATGAGGTCCCCAGCGCAGTCAGATGCGTAGAGAGGAGGGTAGGAGTGTGGTTGCCAGGGGATGAGGAGCAGCGGGAAATGGGGAATTAATATTTAATGGGCGTAGAGCTTCATTTGGGGAAGATGACGGATTCCTGGAAATGGATGGTGGCGATGGTTGTATAACAATGTGAACATGCTCAATGCCACAGAACTGTCCAGTTAAAATAATAAAGTCTACATTACATATATTTTACCACAATTAAACAAAACTACTTCAGGGAAAGAATGCTTGTTGTGTTTCTTTAGATGAAAGGAAGATTCTGCTAGGGAGGTTGTGAGTTGATTGGAAACTGGAACTGCTCCACCTGGGATTCACTGAAACCTGAAACTTCTTGGCACAGCTTTGTGCTCTTTGGCACTTTGGCATTAATACTTGCTACCAGATTTATATGAAATTTTTGGTTGGAAAGAAATGTACCCTGATAAAAATCTGTATCAATAAACAATTGATTACACCAGTGGCTTACAAATTATACTGATAGTTTCAATTTCCCTTTTCATCTCTTATTTTTCAAAATTTGAAATCTTTAAGTAGCTAAATCATTCCATAGCTAAAATGTTGAAATTGTGTATTATTGTTACTGAATTAATATGTGCTTATTATGAAATATTCGAACATTACTAAAAAGTTTATTTTTTAGAAAGTGAAAGTACCCCATGATCTCCAGTGATAACTGTTGTTAACAATTTGGAGTGTGTGTATTTTGTGTACATATAAATGTCATTGGTAACAAAAATATTGTTACTCTTACACATATATTGCCAATGACATTTTTACTTAAAAATAGATTTCTGGTATCAGTATATGTCTATATATCCATCTCTTTAGATTTTTTAAGCTACTACACAGTATTCTATTGTGAAGCTATATTTTAATTTAACCCATATACCAATTAATGGATCATATTTCACAACCCTGATACTATATGCTGAAGTAAGCAATAATATTCATATGTTGTGTTTGTGTGTATGTACCACTGTTCTTCTGAGTGCTAGATGTGGAATGGTGGATCAGTTTAAAAGCACATTTATAATTTTAATAGCAAGCTGCAAAATTTTAATTCTACTTTGGCTGGACTTTAACATCTCAAATACTTTGGCCAAGTTGCAATTGACTATGTGTTTCTACTATACCATAGAAGTTCAGATGTTTCAGTTAAAATACCCAGATGAAGGTGTGTAAGCCTGATGTATTGGGTTTACCAAGCCCCAGATCCAGCTTGCCTGTCAGGGTAACACAGTACTTTGATGGAAATGCCTGTACCTGAGCCAATGAATTCTCCAAGCCTCAAGGTTCAGCTTGTGTAACAAGGTAACAAGGAAAGTTTGGGACTGCCAATTAGCAGCTGCTCCCCATCCCTAGGTTATCTACCTTCATCACTTCGTTAGATATTTGCTCATCTCATTAAATCTAACTCTTCCGAAGGTCCTCTACTAAATAACACAACCATTGTCAAAATTTCACATATCACTTACTGGCATTACAACCTCACCACCCACAACAAATCCCAGCTGAAATTTTGTGATTGTTTTGACTCTGATAATTACAATGTTTGTCAGATTCCAGAAGTACAATGATTATGCTATCCACTTTTGTTGTGTCTTGTGAGGTTTAGTCCTTCATGGAAGATTATGATTTATATTTTCAAAACAAAGCCTATAGGAATAAAAATTGCTGCTTCTTCATCAAAAATTCCCACGGTTCACGCATGTTAGTAATTCATGAAAACTGAAGACATGATTCCTTTGCAAAGAAAGGGAAAAGACATTTATTCACTCATTTATTCATTTGTCTGACATTTATTGAGAATTTACAGGGTGCCAAGCACCCATATGATAATGTACATTATATTGTATGTCCTTTACCTCCAACCTTGATGATGAGTATCTTCTGTCAATATGGAAAACCTACCAAATTTGAATTCTTTGTGTTTGAAGAAGCATTTAAGAATATTTAGCCCTAGCTATTGTGGCTCAGTGGATTGAGCACCAGACTGTGAACCAAAGGGTCACTGGTTCGATTCCCAGTGTAGGGCCATACCTGGGTTGCAAGACAGGTTCCCAGCAGGGAGCATGTGAGATGCAAACACACATTGATGTTTCTCTCCCTCTCTTTCTCCCTCCCCTACCCTCTCTAAAAATGAATAAATAAAATCTTTTTAAAAAAGAATATTTAAATACTAAATTACTCTACCTTGTAGAGAATCCAAAACTTGTTTTTGGAACATATGTACACATACACATTTTTTCTCTTTGATTAAAAATTATTTACCCATCTGTTCCCAGGATTAAGGATAATGAAATTCAACCGCAGAATGATTAAATAATATATAATTGTGGTATTGGAATTTATCAGTTTAGAGTGGTTGCCTCCATATTCACCTTTCCTTTGATCTCCTGTAGACGTTATTGTTATTGACTGCAAATGTCTCAGTATTTTTGCTCAGTGGAATGTGCCTTGACAGATTAATTATATGTTATCAGGCAGTTGAAGATCAGCTAAAGATATGTGGCCACAAGAGGGATGCTGATGTCTTCGAGCTGTTCCTTTCTCAAAAGTAAGTGTACTCTACACATGTAAGAAACAGAAGAGCATCAGTTATGATGTTTCACAGATTCAAATGTTCTTTTCCAGTCCCATTCCCCCAAGGACAGAATGGGTGAGTACCACACCCTAACTACTTTACCACTCCTTGGAGTCACAGTCTCTACTGGAGAGGCAGCATATTGGAATGGATATGCTAAGTTTGAATCCCAGCTTTCTCTCTTCCAGCTGGATGATCTCTGTCAGGTTTAGAAAATAAAAATATGGAATGTTCAGTTACACGGGAATTTCAGAGAAACTAATGAATATATATACACATAAGTATGTATCTTACCACTTATGTGTGTGTGTGTATTTATATATTTAGTATAAGTATTCCCCACACTGCATTTGTCGTCTCCGAAACTCACATTCTGGGCATCCTGTATTTTATCTGGAAATCCTATTGCCTGCTTACGTATAACAATACTACCTGTTTCACAAGGTTGTTGTGAGGATGAGTTAGTAGAGGGCCTTGGATGCAGTAAGCACTCAATGATCATTAGAGCAGTTAATATTATTACTTTTATTGGAGAGTAATGACTCATTATACCTCCATACTATAAAAATAACCCTCAGCTAATAACCCCTATACTAATTTTACTGTTAAGTAGGAAAAACCTCTCCTTTTTTTAACATCCTCCTTTGATTCTACTCCAACTCTCCAAGGTGGCACATAGCAAAGTCACCATGCCATGCAGGACAGTCACCATGCCTGCGAGAATTGAAGAGGAAGAGGAAGTTACAGGTTGGATTGGACTCGACAGCGTTTACTAGCCAAAAAGTGACATCTGTGCAGTCACAGTTGGCATTTTAATAACAATGACCCTATTCCTGCTCTTCTTTTCCTTCCTTGCTGTTGTTTGTCTCAGTGAATTATTCTATGTATTATTTTAAAATAAGTTTGATATACTTCTACTCATATGTAATCTATTGAACTCAGTTATTTTTTTAAAGAAAATGTTCTGCTTTATCAATGAAGTTAATAACTTTACCTCTGGTAATTGGAGAAAATCCTTTATTGATTAACATGTATCTTTTGTTGTATATAAATATTTCTTGGTTTATGACTGCAAAGAAAAATACTTATCTTTGTGTTGGCCCTGAATGTCTTGGGAGCAAGGGAATAAATAGCTGGCCAAGTTAAGATTTTTAAAAGAATATACTTTAGAATGGAACAGGTATAGTATGTAATTCTGACATGCTTCATGCTTCAACCTTTCTATAGATCACTTGGTTTTGTAATAACAAATATTTTATATGGCCAAAAGATTGCACCTCAGCCTTTTATGGTTTTTAACAACTGTGTGCTATGGACCTAAAGAGTGAGTAGACTACCAAAAAAAAGATTTGTTACACTAGAAAAAAATTAGAAATGTTGATCTTCTGACAGTGGGTAAGTAGTGTCTTCTCAACTAAAGGACAACACATTTTATATCCCAAGAATAATAAGTTATCATTTAATCCATCTGTGTCCAAAAAAAATATTTTTCACAGTCCAGAGACCAGTAAACTGGGTTCTTTGCCTGTCTCTGTTGCCCTTAGAAAATGGAAAGCATCTTACCAATGACTTCTTGAGTAATGACTGAGAACATGTACTGTGGCAGATCTTCTTTACAGAATGCCAGGTAATCAATGTGAAAAGGAAAGCACTAGAAGGCACTCCTTATAAAACTGAATCTACAAGTTCAGGTAAAGGTCCTCCATAGCAGCTAAGGCTACTGACTCTATAGCTATTGGGTATGAAATACACACATAGTCTCCGAGTTTTGCCCCACATATTATATATCAGTGATCAAAGTCATACTTGTTATACTTTTTATAATGGAGAGAACTGGCAGATACAGCCTTAACCATGGGACTAAATTTAGCTTCACCAAGAGTGGGTCAAAATACTGCCATTTGTCTCCTGATGTGATACAGTAATTATCACCTTTGTAATTGAAAATGATCTACCTTGAATTTAATCATGAGAAAGCAATCAGACAAATCAATAATGTGAGACATTCTATTGTACAACTGTCCTGGATTCTTCAAAAAGTCAAAGTCAAGGGGGAAAATGGAGAGACTGTGACTATGCTAAATTTAAGACTAAGGGATTATACCAACTGAAAAAGCAATGCATGAATGTCAATGGGATTATGTATTTAAACAAACAAACTATGAAATAGAGAGGCAACAGGGACAATTTGAATAATGGTAATATATTAGATTATATTAATGAATTCAATTTAATTTTCTTAGGTGTGATAATGCTATCATGGTTATGCAGGAGAATGTCCTTATTTAAGGGATGTGCAGGAAGTATTTAGGAGTGAAAACCCTGCAATAATAAGTTTGCAACTTATTTTCAAGTGATTCCCCCAGGAAATTATCAACTTATAAATAGATATATGGGTAAAAAGAAAGTGAGTATAAGTGTGGCAAAACATTAAAAATTATATGTGCTATTCAAGCATTCATTGTACTATCTTTCAACTTTTCTTAGATTTAAAATTTTTCAATATAAAAATTTGGTGAGAGAGGTTTCTTTTGTTTAGAAATGTTTGCATGATTTAAAAAAATATATTTGCTTAAAACAGTAGGAAAATAATTAGTCCCTCAGTGACTCAGGTTAAATAAATATAAATGTGAAAGGATGTTGCCACAAATGAGTTAATATAGGTAATAGTAGTTATCATTAGTATTTTTAAATTGCTTAGGAAAGCACTGGCACACAGCATGTGCCCTGTGTTTAACAAATGGAGCCATATATGTACGCGTACTCAGCCTGGGCCCACAAGTCCTGCCCTGAGAAATGAAAGAGATTTGAATACTCCAGCCCAAAGCAGTGACTCAGAGGCTTTGCCCTCTTTGCTGACAGCTCCCCTTCCCCATACGCCTGTCCCTTTGCAGAATGAGCTGCATCAGCACAAGGCTCAGGGCCACTTAGACAGCTAGCGTCCTGCACAGTGCAAGAAGGATGGGCAATATTTTGACCCTTTATTTAATGAACAACAAAGGGAAAATAAAACACTTTATTCCGTCTGTATCTCTTGGTGCACTGCAATCTTCATGTCTTAAACCCAGTCTGGCCAAGATCTGGACAACCCCAAACTAAGAACCCTGCACACACTGTTGAAGCAGGAGCTAATAGCATTTCCCACTTGTGATTCAGGGTCTTCTGCACCTACTTTTTTCTCTCTGTCCTCTCCTAGTGAAATCTTTTTTTTTTTTTACATAATCCCAACACATTCAGTCATAATGACATATAAATTTCTACTCATGTGATAAAATATTCCCCTTTAAATATTTGTTTCAACTGGCTAACAAAAGCTTAATCCAAATGAAGTTTTAAGAGCGTAATTTTGGAAATAAGCATGTAAGTGTGCCAGCAATTTTGAAAGGACAAAGAGAGATTTTTACAGTTACTCCAAAGTCATACTATATATCCTGCCTTACCCATACTGAACTAATCATTGCTAATGTTTACTTTCTTTTTCTTTTTCAGGGAACTGACAGATGTCATTGATCTTTCTAGGTTTAAAAATTTAAAATATTTATGGCTATATCATAACAAGGTAATATTATATTTTATCTTTAAATGGCTCTATAATTAAGTTGCTATCTTAATATTTTTTAATAGAGCTAATCTTTTAAAATTATATTTTATTGATTATGCTATTACAGTTGTCCTGATTTTTCCTCTTTGCCCACCACCACCCAGCACCCCTACTCCGTCAGGCAATCCCCCTATCTCTGTTCATGTCCATGGGTAACGAGTCTAAGTTCTTTGGCTACTCCATTTCCTGTACTGTATTTTACATCCCCATGGCTATTCTGTAACTGCCTATTTGCACTTCTTACTTCCCTCACCTCTTCACCCATTCTCTCCCTCCCCCTCCCACCTGACAACCTTCCAGTCACTAACTACTTTTCTCTTGCTTTTAAGAGTCTCTTTTTCTCTTTAACCTTTGGCATTTTAATAATGATGTATTTTGGAGCGAGCCTCTTTGCATCCATCATAGTTAGGATTCTCTGTACTTCCTGGACCTGCATGTCTATTTCTTTCACCAAATTAGGGAATTTTTCTTTCATTGTTTTTTCAGATAGATTCCCAATTTCTTGCTCTTTCTCTTCTCGTTCCAGCACCCCTGTGAGGTGAATGTTGGACTTCTTGAAGTTGTCCTAGAGGTTGCATATAGTATCTTCATTTTTTTGGATTTTTTTTCTTCTTGTTGTTCTGACTGGTTGTCTTTTGCTTCTTTATGTTCCAAATCATTGATTTGATTCTCAGATTCATCCACTCTACTGTTGTTTCCCTGCAAATTGTTCTTTATTTCAATTAGTGTGGCCTTCATTTCTGACTGGATCTTTTTTATGCTGCTGAAGTCCTCACTAAGTTCCTTGAGCATCCTTATAAACAGTGTTTTGAACTCTGCATCTAATAGATTGCTTATCTCCATTTTGTTTACCTTTTCCTGGAGTTTTGATCTCTTCTTTCATTGAGACCATGTTTCTTTTTCTCCTCATTTTGGCAGCCTCCCTGTGTTTGTTTCTATGTATTAGTCTGAACTGCTTTGACTCTGTGTCTTGGTAGTAGGTGTCCTGTAGGGTCCAGTGGCACAGCTTCCCCTATCTCCCAAGCTGGTTCCAAGAAATGCGCCCTTTGTGTAGGCTGACTATACCCACTTCTTACAGTGAACCTTGGTTGCTGTTGGAAGATCAATGGGAGGGATTTATCCAGGCCAGTCAGCTGCAAGGACTGACTGTGATCACTGAACACAAACCTCTGCCCTCCATGGAGGATTAGCTGTGCAGGGGTAGGGTGGTGGTGCTCCAGCATGTTCTGAAGCTGTCTACTGGGTGCATTGGCCCTGGAGTTTCAGGGAGGAGGGGCGGCGGTGGTGTAGGCCAAGGTCAGCCCCGACCTGTGTTTTGCTTGGAGCGCCCTTCCTAAGATGTAAAGCAATCTGAGATGGCTGCTATTTATGCTGTACTTGGAGATTCCCAGGTGAAGCCAAGCTGTGACTCTAATCTGGCTACCACTAGGGCTCAGTGAAGCCAGCTGTTGCTTGTTTGATAGGATTTAGGAGCCAAGACCAGCCATTCTTATGAAAAAGCAGCACAGTTGGGCCTATAATTTGGGTGTGGTAGAGCCTCTGGGGATCTCCAAGGTGAGTCAAACAGTGTTAGCCAGGTTGATGGAATCTCAGATATGGCACTAGCCTACTGGCTCTGTGGGGGGAGGGCTCAGTAAAGGGAAAATGGCCTCTGCTTGCCCCAATGCCAGTCTCCCCCTGTATACTACCAGTGCCCTTCAAGTTGCTACCCTGGTGCTGGAACTCAGAGGGAGTGAGTCTGAGTAGGTAAGTCCATGTGTGCGGTCCCCAAGGGGAACTGCTTAAGGCTGCAGCAGCCTACTCCACCAACTCAATCCCTGCTGCCAGAAGGTGTGGGGACTTATCTTTCTGGCACTGGAATCCTGGGCTGCAGGGCCTCATGTGGGTCTGGGACCCCTCGCTCCTGAGATGTCCCTCCCAAATTTTTATCCATATGGATTTGGGGGCAGCCCACTCCACATCCTCTCCCTCCTACCAGTCTGGATGTATATGGTTTCTTCAGTTCCGTAGTTGTCAGACTTCCATTCAACTCAATTTCTGATGTGTCTGAGAGATGGTTGTTGTATATTTTAGTTGTCATTTTGATGTGGTTGTGTGAAGTGAGCAATGTCTGCCTACATTACCATCCTGACCAGAAGCTTCAATGGGGCTAATCTTAAAAGTATTATTTCATATATTTAATTTAAACTTAGGTAAGAAAATTTATATGTATATTGAATAGAACAATTGGTGAGATATTACCATACTGCAGTTACTTTTGTCTCCCGCATCCTGCAAAAGCTTCTCAGAGGAGGCTATTCCTTTCCAGACTCCTGGAAGAAAACTTGGAGAGTCTCAGGATTGTTCTCATCTCTCCTATGTCACTCAAAGTCTTACAGTTCATCTGAGTTATAGTCATTGTTCAGAAATGACAGTGTCTAAGAGAACATATTAATCAATTTTCAATTTTCATTTATAAATGAGATGCCCCCACCTCCCCTCCCATATCCAGCTAGGTCTGATGGCAGATGGCTGCCTCCTTCCCTCTTGCCTTCACCCCAGTCTTCTCCAGGATTGGTATAGAACAGGGAGATGCGGAGGTAGGAGAAAGGCAAGGGAGAAACAGCTATTTGATTTGCACTCTCTGGTATTAACAAATGTTCAAAATTGAATTATTTTCTTCTAATGGGTTATTTGGAAGCTCCCCTACTAGGTTAACCCAACTGTTAATTCCTCTTTGCCAGCCACTTCTGACCACCTCTCACATTTTATCCTATTGGTACTTACAACTGAGCATCTCCTGGCCTTGGCAAAGTACCTTCTTGGGCAGAATCCCTTATGAAATGCCCCAGATCAACCTTCCTACAAGGGCCCCGCATGCCATGACACACACACCTTTGTCCTGCTATCAGAGGTAGAGGGGGTTTGTTACCTTCCAGTTGCTACCCAAGCTCATCTAGCTTCCTCAGGAAGGACCAGGCACTAAATCATTCCTGTTACCAATTGCAGGAACACCCTTCAAGGTCACTGAGTGTGGCCCTTGAAGCTTCTCTTAGAGATTGGTGTTTAGGAGGCCACTGTGCCACCCCCACAGCGGGAGCCTGAGCGGGGCGCCGAGCTCGCTCCAAGTCAAAGAGCAGGACCAAACTAAAATACAAACCCAGCCACTGGTACAGTTAGCTAGTCAGGAACTTATTCTCAGTTTTCAAAATTTAACTTCCCAACAACTTTAATTTTGCACACTGTAAATCCAGGCCTAATATTTTGAATTTAGACTTTCAAACACCAGCCAAATTTAAAAAAAAAAAATTTTTTTTTGAGTTTTCAGCAATAGTATGCTTGTCAAGCAGTAGTCCAGATTCACAGTGTTGAATCTTTAAGCAACCATGTTTATGAAAGCATTTCAATATCATATTGCATTTTCAGTCTTTTTTAACCAACTAAATAAAAAATGAAAGTGCTTCTAGTATTAAGTGTGCGCATAAGTCTCATACGCTTGAAATAATTTCTGGGAGAACAAACAAACAGCTCTGAGACCCAGCCAGCTCATGACTGAAATGGAAAGTACATGCACCACTTAAGGGCATGCAAATTGAAAACTCTTTTAAACACTTGGCCAAAAATTATCCTGGGTCACAGTGTGCGACCTCTGATTAGAAAAAGATGGGAATCAGAAGGCATGGAGAAAGTGACTAATCTTTGTTTTTTATGTGTGCTCTGTGTGGTGTTCAGTGGTCAGTTTTGAAGGAAAGAATATGTGCAAATGTTGGTGGTAGGTCTAAAGGAAGAGGTATAATTAGGGATTTTGTAATTTTTATTTTTATTTTTTTGCATTCTGGTAGCGGATACCGTCCCACCTCCAACCAGTCCTTGAATGTTCATACAGTTGACCAGCAGATATTCAATACATGATGTACAAATGAGGGCACTGAGTAAACTGTCAACTATTTTACTTTCTTTTGTTTTAGAAGGGAGGTTGGTGGGAAAGGGATGCAACAGGCGGAACTCACTTCTTGTGCTTGGTTCTTTGCATTCAACAAAGCATATTTTTTCCAAAATCACCATCACTTAACTTTGTTCTTTAAAAAAAGACTTACTTAGTCCACATAACACTGAAAAGATAGCATACCCAAAATAAGTTTTAAGTAGTCATGAGGTAAGCGGATAAACTGTTGTGAGTTTTCCTATTGATGAATAATTGACTGGTTGCTAAGGTACCTTACTATTCACTCTGCATGAAAAATGAATATTCTTTTTCAAGATCCAAAACTCTAAGGGGCATATTAGCCATGATAGTACTTCCTCAGAGGTTCCTTGTTTCCTCTGGATACTTTCCTGTCTGGATATGAAGTCAAGAATTATTCTACCAACTTGAGAGTGGATCCAGCATTTACAGAAAAACAGCGCCCAGAGAATCCCTGAGACACTCCGACTTGCTGCTCTCACATTCTCGGGACTCCTCGGTGTGTGACGTAATAAATGTTCTAACGTATGTACTAGTTTGATTTGAGTGTAGAAGTTGCATGGAGCCAGCAGCATCCTATCTGATATGTCTTATTCAGTCCTTGCGTTTAGGCTACTGATAGAATATAGCAATAAATGTGAGGGTGCCTCCTCTAGTGATAGAGATAGGAAGCGCAGCGGGAGTGGGTATGCTCCTGGTGAGGACATTGCATTTGCAAACTGCCTGGAATGGAATGAGAGAAAGCAGTAGCCTTGGGAGGCAATGAACGCAGGCTGGTGTGTTTGCAGCCCTGCATGCTAGCAAGGTGAGCACTTCTCCCCTTTGTTATCTGGTGGATAATAAAACTGAAACTTATGGTCTGAACGTTAGAATAGCAAACTAAATAGGTACAGCTTGTTTCTAAGGACCTTCAATGCCTCAGCTTTCCCAGGTTTACTCAAGGAACTCTGGTACCTTCCTTATACTCTCTGAGGGCTGGTTTTCTCCTTGTACTGCATGGATATTCACTAGTTCT